AAGTTTATTGTTTCTGTAAGAAAAAGGCTGAAGGAAAGGGAATTTAATCACTTTATAATTCGATGTAGTTACAACATACAGATAATTTTATATAAATATTCATAAGTATACCTTTATATACCTTTTATACATACACATAACTTTTATAACAACACACATAGAACTTTATATATATATATATATATATATATATATATATATATATATATATATATATATTTTTTTTTTTTTTTTTTTTTGATTTTTTACAAAGAGGAAGAGAGAGGGATAGAAAGTTAGAAACATCAATGAGAGAGAAACATCCATTAGCTGCCTCCTGCACACCCCCTACTGGGGATGTGCCCGCAACCAAGGTACATGCCCTTGACCAGAATTGAACCTGGGACTCTTCAGTCTGCAGGCTGACGCTCTATCCATTGAGCCAAACCGGTTTTGGCTTTGCATAGAACTTTTGCAACAACTTTCACAGTTATTCTAGAAATTTAAGCATTCTCCTTAAAAACAACATCTTTCCCAGATAAACACTAGCACTGGCTTTTTTTTTTTAAATTTTTTTTTTTTTTATGTGATGAGGCAATTACTAGTTAGCAAGAAATTTTATTATCATTTTAATAGTTTTATAAAGTTGGACTATAATCTAGGGCAAAGGTCATGTCAATTTTCCACAGTAAAACTGGCATATTTTAAAGTTAGAGGTCTTGTCTTTTCTTAATTATATTCAATCATATGATTGGAAAATTGCAAAATTCAGCGATTCCCAGTGAGTTTTCTATTTCTTCACCAAATGAGTTGAGTCCTGTTGTTTGGCAGTCACTCAGAGTGTGTTAAACTGCAGTGTGCTTTATCATTGTTCTCCTAAGACCTTGGGATAAATAAACTTCATCTAATAAACTCCTCTTCCAAGGTTACAACAGTTTGGTAATTGCAAGCATTTAAAAAGCCAACTTCTGAAAAATAATTTTCCTATGACATGTCAAGTACTAGGCAGAAGAAAAAGTGAGAAACTTATTGTAGTTACATGGTTATTCATAGCTATTATGAAGGGTAGATGGTGGCTTTTAGTACATTTAACAGGAAGAACATCTATTTTTTACAATTGTAATTACATGGTTCTGAAGCACCTTCACAAATCCATTGACTGAACTTTGGTACCTTGGTCTTGGCCTTTTCCTTAATGGGTTCTATTTGAGTTGAGTAGTTTTCAGTATTTTTTTTTTTTCTTTTCAAATTTGTCCTTGATACGTGAGGAGGATGGAGATAGGATTTGTAGTTCCTAGAATGAAACTCCCTGCAAATAATCTGTTTAAATGGCAAACTTAGTGATGCCTGAAAGCATACACTGGAAGTACCTTGAACAATCAATTCCTTGAACAATTAGAGCAATACATTTTAAAGGAATTTAATAGTCCTTATTTCAGTTTCCCTTATGCTGTTAGCTATACTAGGATATGACATCATCACAACATTCAATATTTACTGAATTCAAAATGAAATAGATGCTAAACTGAGCTAAGAGATAATACTTATCCCCTGAGAATCTGGATTCCAAGGAGCTGGCTAGTTTGAGACTGCATTTCATTCCTCTACTAGAGGCCCGGTGTACAACATTCGTGCACTTTGGGGGGTGGTCCCTCAACCTGGCCTGCCCTCTTGCAGTACAGAACTCCTCAGGAGATGTCCAACTGCTGGCGTAGGCCTAATGCCACCTGCACTCACCAGCCGTGAGCCCAGCTTCTGGCTGAGCAGTGCTCTCCTTGTGGGAGCACACTGGCCACCAGGGGACTGCTCCTGCGTTGAACATCTGCCCCCTGGTGGTCAGTGCTCATCATAGCGACTGGTTGTTCTGCCAGTCATTCTATTGATTTGTTCTGCCAGTCATTGGTTGATTTGCACATTAGGGTTTTATTATACAGGATTGTTATATCTTGACTTACTGTCCTCTAGGAAGATGAGTAATGCTATTCCATAAATCCAAGCTAGTTATGGTTTATGATTTCTAAATATACTTTAAAAACTTGTTCAAAGTCATATTGAAGTCCAGTGTGGTTCCTATAATATTCACTATGGAGAGGAATGAAATAAAAGATCAATCACAGCCGAAACCGGTTTGGCTCAGTGGTAGAGCGTCGGTCTGCGGACTGAAAGGTCCCGGGTTCGATTCCGGTCAGGGGCATGTACATTGGTTGCGGGCACATCCCCGGTGGGGGGTGTGCAAGAGGCAGCTGGTCGATGTTTCTCTCTCATCGACGTTTCTAGCTCTCTATCTCTCTCCCTTTCTCTCTGTAAAAAATCAATAAAATATATTTTAAAAAAAAAGATCAATCACAGAATAATAGAGGTTTTACTCCTTTAAATTTTTTAAAAATTAAACTTATACTGTTTAAATATAATAAAATAGAGCCACGGTCACATGCTGTGTATACGTGAGGCTTAGTTTTCTCTCAAGAAATGGTTTTGGCAATATAAATTTATGGCAGATGGTAAAAAGGGGGACTCGTTTAGTAAAGATTACCCGGAACTGAAGGTTGTATAAAACACTCCCCTTCACTGAGTTTCTAGCTGACTCTTGTCATTCATTTTGGGCGTAAATTCTATGGCCAAATATTCTATTCCTCAACTAATAAGAATACTCTTAGGAATGAAAATAAGGAGTCACTACAGTCTTTAAAGATGACATAATTTTATGTAGTTCTGTCTTGGTTTTATATACTATACAATCTTCTAACCTCTAGAGTCTTATCTTGAGCAATAACCTATAACATCAAATGTAAATGTGATTCACATAGTAGTTGCCAACAAACATGGTGAGAGATTCTGTCACCAAGCATGAAAAGATAATACACCTAAATCTAATCAATGTAATATGCTTCATAAAATGATTACTCTCAAAACAACCCCAATTACCTTTTATCGTTTTGGCAGATTATGAGTGTGATGTAAAATTGTCATTGTTTTATTTCTGTGGTTCTAATACCAAAGTGAAGAACTAAATTACACACACACACACACACACACACACACACACACACAAGAATATTAAGGGTCTTTGTTTTTTTCTTGGGATGTTTTGCAATCACTTTGTAGAGATAAACAAGGCCAAGTTATGAAGGTTTAAAGCTTTGGTAGTGCTGTTTGTTTTTTAACTTGTGAGGAAAGCCTGTAAAAAGTCTCCACTGCCTACATATTTTGGGATTCAGGGGGAAGGAGGAGGGTCTTAGAATTAAGGGTGAGGTTGGGAATAAGGTTGCCATTGACAAGTGAGAGTTTATTGAGTGGGAGAGTCTTCCTGAGAGGGGTAACAGAGGGAGACTTTTTAAATATGGATAAACTACTTCTGAATCATATGAGTGTTAGGCTTGCTTAAAATTCTAAATTTTCTACGACACTGTGGCTGACCTCTCGATCTCTCTTCCCTCCTGGCTCTGCTAATGTGTTTTTCCCCTCCTCTGGGGGTGGTGAGCGGTCTATAAATAATATCGTATGTAGAGCTTCCTCTGATCTCTGCCCTTTGTTCTCGGGTTTAGTGAGTGTTTAGCTTTTCTAGGTAAACATTTTTCAATCATTAAACCTTTGAGTGAAGAATGTAGAAAAACAATTTTTTATACCCCTCTGTTGATCTTTTTCAATATCTTTTAGAAGGTTTGAAATGAGAGGAAAAAGGCATTTTTCTTTGGATCATGCTGAATAGCAAAATGATAATGCTTTCCTTTTTTCTTCTTTAATGTATATTTTTTAACCAGTGTATGAAGAGTCTATATGTGTACTGTGTGGGGCATAAGAACTGTCAAGTGGGTTTTGCTCTCATTTCCATTAAACTTTTTGATCTATATTACTAAGCTATCAAAATGTTCAGGAGTCTCAGAAAAATCAGCTCTGAAAGAGAGTTGTTTGCTCCATTGCTAAGGTTAATTGATCAATTACAAGAAAAAGATGTGTTGTTTGCTGAGCTTGTGTATTTTTAAACACATGTGAAGCCAGATTTTAAGGAGGGAACATAGGCCTGCAGAGAAATATATGTATGAAAGTAAGACCTAGCTACACATGCTCATCCTCTTTAGGCATTAAAGGGGAGCTTTATATTCATGTGGCCACTTTATACCATGTTTTTCAAATATTCAAGATAAATATTTTTTATATCTGATATTTTACTTTCTATATATTTATTATACCTTGTGAATTCACATAGTGGTGACTATTTTTACCCAGGTAGGCTCTACCTACATGGGTAATTCTGTAATGCATATTTTTCTATCTTATTTTTTAAATTTTAGTTAAATCATTCTAAAGGATTTTGTGGTTACTGATAGACAGATATAAAACCTTTGTTTCCACCCTAACCGGTTTGGAAAGAGCATCAGCTTGTGGATTGAAAGGTCCCAGGTTCCATTTTGGTCAAGGGCATGTACCTTGTTTGCAGCACATCCCCAGTAGGAGGTGTGCTGGAGGCAGCTGATTGATGTTTCTAGCTCTCTATCCCTCTCCCTCTATGACCCCCTTCCCCCCAAAAAAACACACACAACAAAACCAATAAAATATATTAAAAAAACAAAAATAACACTTTAGTTCCTTTGGGTTTTTTTCTTCTTCTTTCTCTCATTAGGGGAAGGTGCAGACTACTAACTCTCTTTGGTGTATTTATTTATTAAATTTATCTTTATTGTTGAAAGTATTACAGATGTCCCCAGTTTTTTCCCCATTGACTCCATCTACTCCATTTCTGTCCCTCCTAAGCCTTCAACACACTATTGTTTGTGTCAATGGGCTATGCATATAAATTCCCTGGTTAATCTCCCCCCATGCCCATCACAATTAATGATATACCGGTAATAAAGTTTTAAGACTCTGGGAAAGGAGACATTTTGGTAGTGCTGATAGGGGTGTAAACGGAGGGGTTGATGTTGCCATTTCTAAGGTTGTTAGAACACTTTTAATGGCTATTTACCATCTTCTTTAGGCATTAAAGGGGAGCTTTATATTCATGTGGCCACTTCTGTTCCTAGGTGGATTAAGTTTGAAGAAAAAGTGGAAGCAGGTGGGGAGAGATGGAGCAAGCCCCACGTGGCCACATTATCCCTTCACAGCTTATTTGAGCTGAGGACATGTATGGAGAAAGGATCCATCATGCTTGACAGGGAAGCTTCTTCTCTCCCACAGTTGGTGGGTAAGTATGTTGCTTTAAGTTCCTATCATTTTTCATCTTTTCCTACCTATTAATGAGTTTCCATCAATGCCGATGACTTCTAGAGTAAGCAGATTTGAATATTCTAGAACATGTATTCTCTTTTTTTATGTTTTAAAACTAGTAATGTTTCTTGCAGAAAATTTGGAAAATACAGACATATATTGAGAGGAAAATTTAAAAAGTCATTCATTGCACCTATCATTTTGGTGTATTTTAATCCAGTTTTGTCTCTCAATCTTCTCTCTTATGCTTTTCATTTTTATGTTATTCTATAAAAATTAATATTGTGATTATACTGTATGTACATGGATATGCATCTATTTCTAGGATTAATATTTTGAATGGAGTCCCCAGACAATTTTTGGTTATATTGGACTGGAAGTCTGGATACTGGATTTCTAGAACTCTTTGACCTTAGACATTGAACTGAGCTGCTCTGGGCCTCAATTTTGTCATTTGTACAATAGGGCTTAAATCCTGTGTAGGAAGGAGAACAGTCTAGTTCCTGGGTTGGGGCTGATTTTGTAGACAGAAGTCAAACTTTAGCTGGAGATAGAGAAAAGTTGTGTGGAGCAAGATCAGAACAAGACCCTTATGGGTTAGTGACAGAGTCAGGTCACGTTAGTTCTGAGTGTCATTTGCAAGCCACTGAACCTAACAGTGCAGGGCAGCTTTGGCATCCTTTGCAACTAGTGTTGTGTAGTGAATGTTAACTCATCATGTAGAACACCTTGGGCACACATCACTACATTCCAGACAGTAGTAATTGTTTTTATTTTCTAAGTAGAACCAGAAATATGGCCTAAGCAACCTTATTACCCTTTCGATCTAGGTTTACTGAATAACTCATTGAGCATACCTTTAAAAACAGGCGCAGGGGCTCTGCCTGTTATTCCTAGGAATATTCCATAACCCGGTGACCATTGGACCGGTTTGGATGACTACACTTTCCCAAGGGGTCTTCAGGGTGCCTACTTTGGGATTATGGGGAAGAGGATGTGAATCATGGCTCTACAGAGGGGAATAGTGTAAAGTTTCTGTGTAGTTTCAGACTGTTGCAAAATTTCTTTGATTATCTTTAGACAAAAGGCCTATGGCATCTGTGTCTTTATAGACACTGGGGAGGTTATAGCACTTACACCAAAAGATTTGTTGTCAGATGAGGCATATTGCTTCTTCTTCAGAGAGCTTCTTAGATTTGCAAAGAAGCCTCATACTTTTCATGCATTTGAATATTGAAGGTGCATGAGAAGGGAGACAGACCAATGTGAAGATGCTGGGTGGACAGAATTAATGAGCTCATGCATTTATTCAGCAATGGTGTGTAAGCTTCTGCAATGTGCCAGACACTGTTCCAGGCCCTGGAATTAGGTTTGCAAATCTACCACTTTATAGTGGAATAAGTTACAAATCCATGTCTATATAGGTAGTTAGAAGATAATGTAGGAAATACAGCTCTGTGTAGAATTTTTCATATTTGACTAGGCAGATGAGGCTGAAATGGACATTTGATATATGAGGAGAGATCTTGGATTATTGTGCTAAGGGAAGGTGGGGCCCACCTACAAAGACAGAAGCAAATGGAAGGGATGGTTTTCTGGGTATTTGTTCCACTGGCGATTTTAAAAACTAAGTTGAAATGTTACTTAAATATGAAAATTTATCACGTTTGGGTTTATTAAAAGAAAGATTTTTATCATTGAAACTCTTCTGGTTTTCAAATTCCATAGCTGAATGACGATTGTTACTTTAGCCATGTGATTCTTTGAGGTAGATAAGGGTAAGGATTCTTCCTTCTTCTGCATCTCGGCAACAAGAATGTAAAATCAGAAACATTAGGATTCTAAATTGAATAAAGGCACTCACATTGTATGTTCTTTACTTACAATGAGGGATACGTCAGCTTTTCTTATAAACCATCTTATGAATAAACTAGGATAGAACAGTAAGTGATCTCAGTGATACAAATACAACGCATACTTCAGTAGAAACAGAAACATGGAGAACAAAAATGTGTCTCCTAACAAAATAATTTGTATATTGACCATTTAAGGTTTTGTAATTGCATAAGCATCTTACAGAGCTGAAAGCATTCTAAGTAACAGGCTGCCAGAATTGTTTCATGAGTATCCTTCCTTAATGGCCTACTGGCACTACAATGCACTCTTAAACATACATGGATATCACTGTTCACCAACTTTTTTCATTTATTAAAGTCTGCATGAGAGATTATAATCTAAAAGCGTGTTATGGTTAGCAAAAATCAATTTAGTTTTTGAGTGAGAATTGCAATCTCTCTATTCTTAGACTTGAAGAAGTCATCTGGAGCAAAAATGTCTGAAATCAGACAAGTTGCAAAACTACATCAGAAATGCATACATGCAAGGCAAAATGGACATTAAATTGTGTCCTGGCAACAAATAGGCAGTCTAAGAGGAGAAGATGTGTGTGGTTTAAAGGTCACCCACCAGAAAGATTCCTATAATCAAAAGAAAACGTCTCACCATAGTCTTTTGTTATTGCCTGAAATTTCATCGTTTGAAGATTTTTTTCACTGAGCCCAGAGAGTCCTGTATTAAAATATACCGCTGTCTAACAAAGGCCATATATTAATTCCATGAGACACAGAGTGGTGTTGTAGAAAGGATGGTGGGTTTACAGTTGAAGGGGGGTTTAATGAAAGATTATGTCTACTAGCCTGGAAGACTGTGGGATGAACAAAACAAGTTACTTAACGCCTTAGTGGTCTCAGCTTACTCCTTTGTAAAAGCAGGATGCAGGTGGACTTCTCAGAGTTTTTGTGAGAAGCAAATGAGCAGGTGTGATTATTATGTTTTTACATAACTATGTCAGCATACATGAGTTTATCCACATCTTTCTCCCTGTCACCCAGCAGAGGGATGAGTGCAGACTGAGTCAGGTAGGTGTTCAGGGACTTCGTGAGCAGGAGAAAAGATTCTGAAAGGTGTAGTGGACGGATCTGGAAATAATTAACAGCTTCTGCGCTGTGCCTCGATGTGGTCAACAAGGGTGACAAAAGTTAAGGTGGGATTACATACTTGGACTTTCTGTGAAACTGTCTTTGGGATAGTCATCACCAGAAAGGGTCATCTTAAGTAGCGTCTGTTCTTCAGCAACTAACTGACCTTTTAGTTGAAGTAGAGGCAGAGTCCCACATTACAGTGGAGCTTTGTTAGCCAATGACCAGAGAGGTTCTGGTATTTACTGCATTAAGGAAAGGGTCTCCAAGCATTCTGTGTTCTCACTTTAATTTTCCATTACTTTTTGTTATCAGCTGTGAACTTTTTCTATAACCTCTATGCATTTATTTAAAAAATAGTCATTAAAATTTAAAATTAGACACTATTAGGTCACCTTGTAGTATCATTAGTTAGTAATAGGTTTGCTCTGCGGTCCCTGGGGTGAGCAGGCAGAGGAGAGGGCCAGGGGTGCATTGTGGAGCTGATGATACAGAGAAACAAGTCGGAGGCAAAAAACCCCAAAAACAATTAACAAGTAAAAGAAAGAAAAGAAAGGACCAGATTTGCAGGAGTGCAAGGAAAAGAACATGTTTGAGGGAGTGTAACTGGCTGCAAAAAAAAAAACAACTTAAAAATCTTCTGAAACAATCTAAACCTTGCAGAAAGTTAAAGATGAAAGGGGGAATAAACCCTTATTTCATTTCATTTCATTTCATTTCATTTCATTTCATTTCATTTCATTTCATTTTATTTCATTTCATTTCATTTCATTTCACTTCATTTCATTTCACTTCATTTCACTTCACTTCATTTCATTTCATTTCATGTATTTATTTAGTTCTCACTGAAGGATATGTTTATTGGTGAGAAAGAGAGAGAGAGAGGGAAAAGAGGAGAGAGAAGAGAGAAGAGAAAAGAGAAGAGAGAAGGAGAGAGAAGAAGAGAGACGAGAGAGAAATATAGATCAGGTGCCTCCTGTATGCATCCCAACTGAGAATTGGACCTGCAACCTATTGGTGCGTGGGATGATGCTCCAACCAACTGAGCCGCCCAGCCACGGCCCTGATTGCATTTTAAATGTCAGAAGATAGAATGGTAATGTGAAGAGTTATTGTCATTATTTGGTTATCAAAAAATTATTCCTTTTTTTAGCAGAGGGTGAAGTGGAATTGTTTTGTTCTGAATTTAGTTGAGAATTATGTGCAGCTATGTCTTAATTAAGATACATCTCCCCACCACCCCATTTCTCTCAACAAATGAGAAGAAAAAATAATAATAAGTGTGATTATATCAAGGAAACAATAGCAAGATTTTTATCCTTTCTTGCAGTCCACCTGCTACTCCTTCTTAGTGGCATCTGATGCCTTGAGTTTGCACAAAGGAACCTTGTCATGAGCAAAGGGAGACTGTTTAATCAGGCGTTCCTTCTCACACGTTTATTTAAAAAAAAAATTCAGCCCAATTCTGACTCTTAGACCCTCTTCTTGTTTTCTTTATGCAGAATACCTTCTTAAAGCTAGTAGAAGATTTTGTCTTTAAAGTATTTGAAGGATAAACACTGATTATTTTGGAAGCTCTATTATTACTATCATTATAATTCTACATTTAAAGAGTGTCACTCACATATGAAGCAAGTACATTGGTATTTTTCTCCCCTCCTAAGTTAAAAAAAATATGTCATTTCAGGTATTTTATTATGATGGGATATGGATTATAAAAATGTAGCTCTATTTTTAGAGTTCTCATTTTTATATGTAAAGGCGTTCCTGAGCTATGGTTGTGAGCAGATGTGTTAGTCATTTTTTTTTGCTTTTTACACCTTTTATATTTTCAGAATAGTAATATATTTGTTTTGTCATAAATCTATCTTCATTTTTAAATAATCCAGAAAAATGTAACACAAAAATTAAAATATCACAAATCTGATCCTGCAGAGCTGTCCTCCTGCAATTTTTATGTGCATCTGTTCCCAGATATGAAATTTATTTTATAAAACAGGATCATACTATTACACTTTAATCTGCTTTTTTCTAAACTCAAAAAACAATACAAATTTTCTTTCCACTTCATTAAGTAGAAATGTAACCATCATTTTAACAGTTGTAAAATACTTTAAAAAATCTATTATTGGGCATTGTATTGCCCGTAAAATTTTAGTGTAAAGAAAAGAAGTGACCTGGCTGGTATGTGTGCTCAGTGGTTGAGGGTAGACCTATGATCCAGGAAGTCACAGTTTGATTCCCAGTCAGGGCATATATCTGGGTTGTAGGCTCAGTCCCCAGTGTGGCAGCCAGTTAATGATTCTCTCTCTTATCATTGATGTTCCTCTCTCTCTCTCCCTTTCTTTCTTCATATATATATAATAAATGAAGATCACTCAAGACTGGGTCCCCAGACCTCAGCTTTAAAAGATAAAAATAAAAAGAAGTAACCATTTTTGTCCTCTAATGAAACTGTTTCCTTACTATAGATTTCCAACAAAGGGCTTGAACATTTGAAAGGGTTTTGTCATGTGGCTGTGGGTGCCTTCAGTACAGACTGCACTGGATACTACACTCATCATCAGTATGTGGAATTGTCTGTTGCACACTTCCTTCTTGTCCCTGGGAACTCACCTTTTAAATTTTGCCACCTTGATAGATTAACAGAGACCTTGTAATTGGTTATATTGTGAAAATTTGTTCAAATTGTTAGTCTTGGAGTTAACTAATATCTTGGGTGTTTATATTTCCTTTAAGAATGTCTCCTTTGTCTCAGGAGACATTCTTAAAGGAAATACAGCTGGTTTGGCTCAGTGGCTAGAGCATCAGCTTGCAGACTGAAAGGTCCTGGGTTCGATTCCAGTCAGGGGCACATGCCTAGGTTGTGGGCTCAATCTCCAATGGGGGGCATTCAGGAGGCAGCCGATCAATGATTCTCTCTCATCATTGATGTTTATGTCTCTCCTTCTTCCTTACTCTCTGAAATCAATAAAAATATATATTTAAAAAAAGAAAAGAATGTCTCCTTTGACTTTTTTTTTTCCTGGTGCATGGCCATCTTCCTGTTGGTTTGCAGAAGCTCTGCGTGTAATCAATATATATATTTGGTTTAGAGCTTCCTTTTCAAATAAAGAAAAGTATTGTGTAATATGGAAAAAAAAATCTAAACTGTGAATCAGAAAACCTGGTTTTATGTTGCGGTATTTTGCCTCTTATTGGGCTATGTCTTTTCTCACCTGTGGAACAGGAGGTTGAATTGGACCCTCTTTGCTGCCATGCAGGGTTGGCACATTCTTTCCCAATTGGTAACGTCTGTGGGGTTTTGACACCGAAGGCTTAATTTCAGTGTAGCTGTGAGGTGTTACTGCCCCCACTTCCCTTGAAAGGGTTTGTAGTTGATGCTTAAAGAGTTCCCTGCACCGTGGGCCATGTTTATGGGAACTTAATGACAGGCATAAGCCGCACAGATGTTCTAACCTGTGCTAACTGGTGATTTCCAGGCACGAGTAGTGGAGGGCTGGCTGTGCCTACGGAGGCTTGATTGGAGATTACAAGGGAGGGCAAGAATAGAGGGTAGATAAGAAACACTTTAATCCACAACCCTGGAATTAGAGTAGGAGTTTGATAATGCTGGGGCAGTTTGTTTATTTTTGTGGTTCTGCTGTGAACTGGACTTCCCACATTGAACAAGACTTGAAGGGAAAGTAGAGTTGTGTGTGGTAGCACCTAATTACTTTGGCTGTGGAGCAGAGGGTTCGTTGTAATTTCAGAACCAGCTTCGAGAGTTTTGTTGAGCATGGTTTGCATAGTTAAAGGTATTCAGAGCGAAAGGGCATTGTCAAACCAAACATTCTGGTGGGAGAGACTCTTCAGGCCTTGCTCAGGTTCCCTACCAAGTGGTCCGGCGTGATGTGATATTTATGGCATCCGTGTAAGGCACGTGGTAGAAAATCTGGATTCTGCCTCTGTTTGGCGCCCAAAGAGTTGATTGTTTACTGTGTAAATCATTAGTTTCTAGTCCTAGACCGTGAAGCCAGGTCTGTGAGTGCTAGCTTTGTAAAGAAGAGCTGCTGAGGGGTGTGGTCATGCCCCAGCAAACCCCCTTGAATATTCCTAATTTGACAAAAGGTTGGGAATGCTTGGGAGATGCTCTTATCCTAACAGCTCCAGTCAATTTTTGTTCATTCTCTCCTCAACCCTTTATTTTAATTTATTTTCCCCCCATCACCATTTATCCCTCCTATACCCTCTTCCACCTCCTCCCTCACCCCCTGCCATCACCACACTTGTCTGTGTCCATGAGTTCTTTCTGTGTGTGTGTGTGTGTGTGTGTGTGTGTGTGTGTGTGTGTGTGTGTTTGCTTGCTCAATCCCTTTCCCTTTCCCCCACCCCAGAGCCGCGGCCTGTTCTCTACATAGGAGTCTGTCTCTATTTTACTTGTTAGTTCAGTTTGTTCATTAGATTCCACATATGAGTGAAATCATATGGTACTTGTCTTTCTCTGACTGGCTTAGTTCACTTAGCATAATGTTCTCTGGTTCCATGCATGCTGTCACATAGGGTACATTCTTCTTCCTTTTTGCAGCTGAGTAGCATGGAGTTTTGTTTTCTTCTCCATTTTTGTAAACTGAGAACTATGCCCAAGGAAAATATTGATATGTGCTAGATGCTCATGTATCTGGAAAGGCAGGCCTGAGGTGCATTGTTCTGGTTCTGTGCAGGGACAAAAGCTCTACCCGCATATATTGAGGTAGCATCCTGCCATTGCATGTCTTGCACAGATTCTGTGATGCTTTGTGCTGAGTCATATATTGGACAGAGGAAATGTCGAATTGTGATGTGACATTAGAATGGGGTGCACCAAGATACATTTGTGTTGACTTGTGAGAGAAAGGGTTTTATATTTTTTAAAATTTTTAAATTTTTTACTTTTTCCAGTTACAGTTTATATTCGCTAATATATTTTGTATTAGTTTTAGGTATACAGCAAAGTGGTTGGTTAGACAATCATATACTTAACCAAGTGTTTCCCCTGATATTTCCAGAACCTACCTGGTACAAAGTTATCACAGTATTATTGACTGTATTTTATGCCATATTATACACCTTAGTCACTGTCTTATTTATGATTAGAGTAAAACTTGTCCTTCAGCAGAGCCACTCATGGAGCAATTTCTATGAAACACAGTCAGTCATCTTTTCTAGTGAAAACCATTCCTAAAAAAGGAACTAATAAAAAATTTAACTTTTTTTTGTAGTAAGAATAAGATATTAACATTTCATAGAAAATTGTAGTCAGGTTATACCTTAAAACGCCTAATGGGTTATATTGGATCTAAACAAGAATAGGCATCCCTTCTTAGATAAGAATAAAGCATAATTTGTAGTTTAATTGCTTTTATTGGATTAATTGGTATTCAAATAACCTGATATGGGAAGGCATTGTTTTTCTTTACTGAGTTCCATTATAAAGGAAGTAAAACATTACAGGAGAATTTGAGGAAATCTTTTAAAACATCAATAATGTCACTACTTTTAATTTGGCATATTCTCTAAGTTTTTTATATCATTTATATTGCTGGCACACTTGCTATGATAGAGTACATGAACTTTTCTAATTTTATCTTTTTTGTCCTTAATTGAAAAATGTAAATTGCTGATTTATGCTGTTACTCATAGAAGAATTGATTAATGTGAATTTACTATTAAGTGGGATTAAAAAAAATGAACACGAATTTTTTTTCTCCAAAAATATAATTAATACTGGAATAATTACAGCTCTCATTAATACCAATATTCCTGTGCCTGTATCTTTACCCTTCTCATAAGATGGGAAGTTTGAAATTTGGAGAATAGTATATTGATATTCAATTTGAGGATGGCATCTTTAAAGTTAGAGTGAAAAATTGACTTCGTAGTATTGCGACTGAGTTTTGTTTTTGTTTTGCTTTGTTTTTGTATCAGATATGATTGTTGACCATCAGATTGAGACGGGCCTTTTGAAGCCTGACCTTAAGGATAAGGTGACCTATACTTTGCTCCGGAAGCATCGGCATCAAACCAAGAAGTCCAACCTCCGGTCCCTGGCTGATATTGGGAAGACGGTCTCCAGTGCAAGTAGAATGTTTGCCAGCCCTGATAATGGTAATGCAGGGCCGACTGTCCGCTGCTCTCTTTACCGGTCTCACCTTTACTCCATCGCTTCTCATCTTTTGTTTAAACTCCCTCTCCATATTTCTTCATGTTCAAGTTCATATGCCACGGCCATTTCATAATGACTTTTTGTCCAGTTGGGCAGGTTTGCGGGCCTGTTGGAAGGATTTCAGTGGCCATGGTAGGCTACAAATGCCAAAATGTCTTGCTTGCTCCGTATACATGTATGCTGATGGACTGGGATGGTTTGGCAATAATGTTGTGATGAAACAACTGAGATGAATCCGCGAAAGGTGTAGATGATTGAGGAAATCAAGGAGTATGCTTTCGACATGGTAGTTTGTCAGAATTAAGACAGATTAACACAGGAAGGCTCTGAGATCTCTTATAGAGGAGTATTTGCTTGGTATATGAGCTGGTATCCAGCGGTAAATGATCAAAAGAAGGCTCACTATTATTTTTCTACTTAAACCCACAATCTGTTCTTTTGTTATATGATAATGATAGCTAAGGAGAATAATGATTCCAGGTGGGACATTAAACCTCATTATATAGCAATATGAAAGACTGTCTTATTTATATTCTATTGCATTCACCAGAGCTTTCTGTAAAGGGACTGTCTTCTGTGTCATTGTCTGTTTCATATAAATGTCATGACTGGATACAATCTGAGAAGGGAGAAGTTAATTTGGATGGAGTACTGGGAAATGAAAGCATGGTGGGGAGAGTTGCTGAGCATTGAGCTGGTACAAGTAGGTCTCTCCCACCCCACCCCCAGTCATTTTTAGTATTAAGAGAAATCAGTAGATAAGGGACCTTCTAATTCACTGCCCTCAGCTGTATTTTCAGAATAATATAAAACATGCTGTCACGGAAAAGGTGGGCTAAGTGAATTGTATAAACTGAATTCTAACTCAGCCGCTCTATTTTCCGGAAATTTTAGTATTTCTGTCTGAATATTAAAATGAATGGTAGTCTGGAAGAAAGCTTTCCATTAGCAAACCTTTGAATCATTCTATTATTGTAAATATTAAAATGAATGGTAATATGGAAGAAAGCTTACTGTTAGCTCTATTTTTTAACCATTCCAACCTTGTAGTTTTTCATGAGTATTTAGTTCTTAAACAGAACCAAATAAGTTCAGTTTTATTAAATGGCTTAGATATTAAAAATATCAGTTATAAATAAGTAATTTAAAGAAAAATACTGCTTATAAAAAAAACAGTCACAAAAGAAATAAGATAATATAGAAATTCTTACTACAATTTGATGGCCCTGCCATTACCTGGAATGTTACTGATGACTGGGAAATGTTTTTTTTTTTTTTAAATTGTGTTTTTGAAGAGCGGCGTTGTTTAGTGGCTGGATATGTTATGGGATTAAGAGATTATTATAACTGATGTCACCTATATTTCATTTTAAAAGCACCCCGTGTTTTTAAAATTGTGGCAATTAAAATAAAATTCTGTCTTTCATACTTTATTATTTTTTCTCTGGCATAAAATGAAATTCCATGATTTAGACATTTATTTTATTTTAAAGAAGCAAGAATTCTATATAATCCTATATAATAAAAGGCTAATATGCAAACAGACTGAATGGCGAAACAAGCAGTCGCTATAATGTGCACTGACCACCAGGGGGATGATGCTCAATGCAGGAGCTGCTCCCTGGTGGTCATTGTGCTCCCACAGGGGGAGCACCACTCAGCCCAGAAGCCAGGCTCACAAGCGCAGTGGCAGTGGCGGAAGCCTCTCAGCGGTCCCAGACTGCAAGAGGACACAGGCAGGCAGAGGGATCACTCCTCCCGCTTCCTAACCCTCAGTGCATGAATGTGGTGCACCAGGCCTCTAGCATTGATAGATTTGCAAAGAGAAGAGGAAAACAGGTATGACAGAGTGCGGGTGACTTCTACCAGTGTGGTGTGATCTTCATTTTCATAGATGTGCAGGCGGAACAGAATTAGGAACAGATGGGTCTTGGAGGCCAGCATCTTGTGCTTTGGGAGTGGTAACTAATGAGTTGATATCACTCATCACTCAATCTTTTATCCTATCAGTAGATCTTTGTACTTCAGAGGAAAGTTGAAATTACTCTTGTCACTCACCTTTCCTCTTGTGATGGATTATATACCTAGGCAGAAAGCAAATAGAAAGGACAGGGAGTTCTTTTCCTTTCTGGCTCTCCACTTACCCTAAAGCATGGAATTCAAGGAGAGCATTTTAAACATGTTATGATTGACCACTGTGTTACTTAGCTCCTTTTAAATATCCAGAGGCAAGATTTAAGATTTGGCTTTGAGAAATTTTATAGTAATGAATTTCATGTTCTTTCAGGGTGGTACACTCTAACAAATGAACAGATGGTTAAATGTTGGTTTTCTAGAGGCCCTTAACTTACAAGTTTATACAGTTACCTTGGTATATTAGGATTAGTTATGTGATATTTTTAATGTTATGAATATTCCTAGGATACATTTATAAAAATATGGAATTATGGAACTCTTGCTAGTATTTAATAAACCAGAATTTTATATTTTTGTAGTTAGAACTAGATTTTAATATCTCTATGTAAAACCTAGATAAATTTGTCATAGTCTAGAAAATAGACTCAGTGACACTGTCAACTTTAGTTATAAGAGCAACAATGTAATTGGTAGATGAAATTTATGAAGACACTGGAGAATCAGAAATTTTTTTATTTCACAGTGGTATACTGGAATGGCCTCTTGTGTACTCATAAGAGTCAGTTATCAGAAATTTTGTGATCTGGTTGTTATATATATAGTTGTTAGTAAAAATTAATTTATATAAACATATGCTTAAATACATATTAAAAATGAAGGTAATAAAAACTCAAACTTCATCACTTCCTACATATTTTACTGCATTTTTGCAGTAATGCTCTTGAGGTTTTTTACATCTACTGTGCCTGGAGGGTAGCAATACTATAAAATGATATGCTATTGTGCATCTCTTCCCAACTCTGCATGTAGTGACTGGTAGTATTTACATCAGATGAATCAGCAAAGGCTACAAATCAGGGTTAAGTTATTGGTGATTGATTGTCTCTAGACTTAAAAAAGTGATGAAGAAAATGTTAATAATGCAGAGTCAATTTAAAAGTGTACGATGGCCATTAGTTGCCTTAGTCACCTTGGCTGCTACAAGAAATCACCATAGACTGGGTGGCTTAGCCAACTGCATTTATTTCTCACAGTTGTAGAGGCTTGGAAGGCTGCGATCAAAGTGCTGCAGATTTGGTATTTGCTGAGGGCCCTCTTTTTGGCTTGTAGATGGCTGCCTTCTCACTGCATTTTCACTGGCGGAGACAGATGATCTTTGTCCTGTCTTTCTTTATAAGCACACTAAATCGCATTCAAGCTGGCTCTGCCCTCATGATCTATTTACCACCCAAAGGCCCCACGTCCTAATATCATGACATTGGGAGGTGAGGATTACATGTGAATTTGGGGAGGATACAAATATTCAGTCCATAACAGCTGTTAAAATGTGAATAGCACAAGTAATTGAGGAAGTATTCTTCTGGTATTCAGAAACTGTTATTATCCAGGTAAACAAAGAAATTAACTGACATTATTGACAGGTGAGTGAAGTCTGACACATGTCTTCAGTGTTTTGCTTTTGTCTTGCTTATTAGCATAAAAGATAATGGATGTTCATCATGGACACTGGAACTGTGCTTGTTTGCCAGTTGCCACTATAAGTTGGCTACAGATTAAGGAAGGAGTTTGGTGAAAATCAGCAGAAGCATTCTATGAGAATCAATTGGCACAGACAGGAAATTTACACAAAATTATTGTGTATTTTATTATTATTCATATGTGTGCTGCATATCCTTTATATCAGTGAAATTTTACTACACACACACACACACACACACACACACACACACACACACACACATTTTTCTGCCCTGCTCAAGAGCTGGTTTTCAAATATTTACCACAACACTCACAAACAGCCCAAACACTGTCTATCTATAGCTAAAGACCAACTCTCATGTTTAAGGTCCTAATATGCCTTGGAGTTCAAGACAACTTAGTGTTGTTTTAAAGATAAATGTTTTTACTTGTAATAAATTAGGGAAGAATCAGGCCAACTTCTAAGATGTTAATTATTATGAAATTGCTACTTGTCTGAGACATTTGTGAATTCTGATGGATGTGTCTGCCAGGTAAGAGACTTTAGGCAAGTGCTATAATTTCTCAGTATATTCATTGAGGCATTTCTATAGAGTTTCTGTTTACTGAAGAAATTAATGAGGTTATCAATTACTCTTACAAAATACCTGACTCTGTCAGTGGTTTTACATTTTGTTGAATATCTGTCAGGGAAATGCTAAACCACACTGAGAATCCAGGACTTAGGTGAGAAGTTAGGAAAGGTGGCAGCTCCAGGCCTGGGCAATCAGCTCCTAAACCTCACCCTGGTTTCCCCAGGCTTTCTCCTGGGGCCATATGGCATCTTCTTTACTATTTATTGGGATATAGTCTACTTCTGGTTGACTTTATCTTCAGTCCACCACTATTTTTTTTTTTCCTGTCAAGTCTGAGAAATTAGATCCATGTGCTCCCACCACTTACATCGCTATGGATTCCTCTTTCAATGTTATCTGCCAGGCATAACACTGCTTCCTTGCTTTCCACCACATGCTGTTTCTGACATAAGCACACAACATCTTCAAGTTTTTAAAAGTCTATTAAATTTCTTAAAGTGACATAGTAGTGGTTTACAACATCGAACAAACAATGGAAAAAAATACATTCTTTTTGTTAATAGTAATTCTAGGCCCCATTGAAATGTCAGAGTAGCTGGGCTGTTGTTGCTTTGCATCTGATTTGAGATTAGTGTCTTCAAACGCTTTGGTTTGGATAACAGATCAAGCTGCCTCGATGCTGGCATGTGGTGGATCTGGCTGGGACCACTGCCAGGTTTGGCAGCTTTCTCAGTCTCTTTAGAAACTCTTAG